TAACGACTCCAATGAGCTGTTGGATTATCAGAACCGCACGGAAGAATGTGAAAAAAATGTCAGTCTTAGAATTTGTGGGAAGACACGATGACATGAAATACTTCATGATACCATCGTAAGAGTACCTATATTCATGGACCCATATATAACAGCACATGATGTTACAATGGACACCTTAGAACTTCTTCCGGAATTCTACAAAACCGTTTGCACATTCTTCCAACCGTGGCGAACGAAAGAAGACATACTCGGTGAAGGCGAGAGTTTTGTAGATCGTGCTCATGCCATCATGGCACATCTTCAGCAAGCATATGAAGAAGATCCCCATGCCGTAACCATCGATGGTTTTTTAGGAAAATATTTACGAAATATTGAGATTATGAGTCAAGCACGAAAATCGCTGAAGGATTACCGCACTGGGGGAATACAAGCTGGAACCGTCAAGGCAACTTCCAAACTTTGGTGGCCTTCGCATGAATGTCATGGATGATGATAATGATGAGGAAGATGGGCATGGGCCGCATATAGATGAAAAAAGCATGGAAGATGAAACCGACACCACCGAAATGTCCTTTCATCGCCTTGTTCCCGATCTTGATGATAACCAGTCTCGTCTCCTTGACAGCATTCAAATGGCCGGGCGGTTTCAATCACCCCCCAACACAACAAACCGCAATCTCTCATACGCATTTCAGCCTTCACGAATTATCCGCAAGCCATCAATGCGTTTTTGAATGAACACCGTCAAGCGTACAAACAAAGCCAGGTTGATGCTGCCATGGAACTTTTCCGTCAAGCAGAAGAGTCTCGAAAGAAATACGAATTCAAGTTCGCACCAGCGTTACCTCCACCAACCATCGAACGGATCCATATCGAAAACTTATGGCCAATGCGTTTTGACCTCATGCAATCCATCATTCATACGAATAGGCTTGGGAAAAGACCAGCTCCTCCCCTTCATTGTTTTTGCAGCGCAAATCCAGGGTCGCCTTCAAGGACTTCCACTTCATCCCTTGATGATGGTGGTTATGGGATCAGGGGGGACCGGAAAGTCACACGTCATAACCGCATTGACCCAAATTCATATAAGTCTTAACGCTGAAGCTACTTTGGAACGAGCAGCTTATACTGGATCAGCGGCTGCAAACATCAACGGAGAAACACTTCATCATCTCTACGAATGGTCGGCAAATAAACAGAGAGCCTGTTTTAAAAACGCCTTCGACACCATGAATCGCGAACGGTTGTGGTCCTCATTGAATACCTTAATTGTGGACGAAATTGGAATGATCTCTCCATCGTTCCTTGACAAGATGGACATGCAGACAAAGGAAAATCGAACAATGGTGAACGCTGAAGATCATCAGCTTCCATTCGCCGGACTTGATGTTCTTTTCACGGGAGATTTCATGCAACTGAAACCGATTCGACAATTACCACTATACCACCAAGCAGCCAACACCTCTTCCGTATCCCTCAACGCCAACCTTGTAAACCCACGACTCACACCAACAACCCAAGGTCTAACAACATGGAGAACAATTCCGTTTGCTGCCATCCTCCGAAAGAATTATCAATGCTCACCGGAATACAGCGCATTCCTATCCAACTTCAGAAAAGGAAAGGTGACGAATGATGATCTCGCAAAACTGAATGATCGATGCCTACTGCGACATCATCGGTTATTTACACCTGGCCCTCCATATGTCCTCATATTCGAATGGGGAGATGGGGTGGATGTCTTCAAGAGTTCCGAGCCTACAGCGGAACATGGATCATGCCGTTCTGTAGGTAGGAAGTCCCTGCTTGGTTTCCGGCGTCGACGATGTACTCTCGATGCTCGGCCAGCAGACGTTAATTTGGCTTGGTTCTCGTGAACTGATCAAGGGATGGGGTTCTCATCTCACAATCAAGGGTTTCTAGTAACAAAGGGGCAATAACACATATAACATACCTTGTAGCTTGTACACCTGGCGTCCTAGAACACGCCGTGGGGGAGCCACTCTCCGCCATGCTTCAATCACCTTTTCACCAGTTGTATGTGCACTTCCTTTCCAGCCTACGTTGCAAAGCAGGGCATGCAGCATCTGCTCACTGCATCAACTGCCAACGTCATTGGGGGACATAGGAAGGAGTGATGGCTAGCCCGTCATGCCGTGATCCTGCCATCAAGGATAGGGGATCAGAACTAGGCTTCAGCTAAGGAGGCGAAAATACTGGGATTGAACCAGCTCCAAAGCTGCCTTTGTTCCCTGGGTTCAGCCCAGTAAGCTGACTGCGAGAGGAATAGCCTGGCGGCGACAGCAGAGGGTTAGGCAGGCATTCCCTGAATATATTAATGGTGGATGGCAAGGGGGGTCATGGGCAAGAGAGCCCCAGAGGAGCCTCAAATCTCAAAGAGCAGAAATGAAGGTCAACAATCCATCTATTAACGTAATACATGAAATGGAAAAAACTTATACAACCCAAAAACAAACAAAACACAGAACACACAGCTTTACACGGCGCCGATACCTCGAACGCGCGTAAAGTCTATGTCACCTCCTTCAGTAAAAACCCTATAACATAAGGGAAAAGAATAGAGGATTTCGTGTATTTATACTTGGGACCGCGTAAGTCGCGTCCATTTACGTAAAGTAATAGGAATCACTTTAGTACTTAAAGTGAAGGTGTGAAGTGAAAAACCACTAGAACTTCACACTACACCGTCATCCCAACATTCTTTCCCAACCTGACTGGCAAGACGCGCCATTCATCATCCCTTACAACGCCATTCGCATCAACTTCAACATGCGTTCGGTACAAGCAAAAGCTACTCCCTCCAACCCTGTGCATTGGATTACTGCAAACGATCACGCGCCTAATCTCTCCTCAGCGACAATTGCAAACATCCAGTACCAGAATAGGGACCTTTCGGATACTGAAACCAGTGACCTTCCAAACCTCCTTCCGCTCCTCGAAGGTCATGAATACATCATCACAAGTAACCTCGGTCCCGAACTCAACATCAGCAAGGCTACGAAATGCACGTTGATCAAGATTGCATACCCGTTAGATTCTCTACCACCGTCTCAAGGTAAAATAATGACACTTCTACATCTAATTATTCAAGACGGATCAGTGAACGTATTTCCCGATATACTTCCTCAATGGGTAGAAGTTCGATTACATTCACCCCTCCATAACGTCCATAGCCAGTGGCCAGGATCCTTCGATGAGAACCACCAAACCATAACGCTCATCCCAATTCAACGATCCATCAAAGTAGACTATCGCGATCGCCTAGGGAAAACATCACTCGCTCTCAATCAACCGAACGCAATTCTGCCTAGTCCCAGCCGACGCTTCACCATTTACCGAGGTCAAGGACAGACGATGGAAAAGCTAGTAACGACTTTAACACTAGCAAAAAAAACGCCGTCTGTCCTTCAACGAAGTGTATACGGTCCTATCAAGGGCCCGCGACTTCACCTCCCTAATCTTCATGAGGATAGTATACCTCGTGAAGCTATTGACCTCCAACCACCAAAAGATATTGTTTCCGAAATCCGTCGAGTGGAAGCGGTGGCAGAAAGAACCAAGTCTGAAGTATGGCAGTACTTCCCAACCTGTGTGCAAAGGTTCTATGAAAAAATGATGGCAACCTGCAAGTCATAAGATTCCGTTGAGCATTCCATAGTGTCGTTGCGCATTTTTATGTATATTGTTCGTATTATAAATAAAAAAGGCATCTTGCATGCAATAACCTACCTTTGATCTGATTAACGTCCCCCAAACCATCAACACACCTGACCATCAAACTTAACCACTCACACTACCATTCCCCACTAAAACAATAATCAACAAAGATTAGTAAATTCAAAGTTCACACCATGAGTTTCATCCTCGCAGAGTACGGTCAACCCACACGCACAAAAGTTGTTCCTGGAACCACCGTTGACATGGCCCAGAACATCTCTGACAACCAAATCTGATGTATTTATAGACGTGTGAAAACACTCATGGAAGTGGAAGGATCAGGCAACCTTGCCAACATCAACCACCTCCCCAACAATGCCACCTTCGTTCGATCACGATTATCCATCCACCATACCTCCCTTCGCTTCTTTGCCGTCGGCATGCTCTCAGACCAAAGCAACATCCAGCTCCCCATTCAAACTGGAGCCGTCAACCAATACGTCATCTCCATGTTACTCTTCCCACACACGAAAATGAACCGACTCCTCACACACGTCGCCACACTCTTGGGAAAACCCAACATTTCTCATATCGAACGGAGGCTTACAATTTGCATCGTTCGATAAAGGTAAATCCTTTCTAAACTCACACTAATGCATCCAGTACCATCTACGACTGTAGAGAGAGCTTAAACTTTGCTCACATCACCGCATACCCACAGTTTGTTGAAGAACTTGGTCCTGGATCCATCGTCGTTGTTGTGTTTGAATTCAGAGTTCACCGAAGTTCCTTGTCACCAACCACCATCTCACTTGACACCAAGTTCGTCGCGGTTTTACATGATGCCCCGATCATCCATGAACCATCCCTGGATCTTCCGACATCACCATTTAACACCAGCCTCCCTCACCCTATTTGCTGTTGCCCAACCTTCGCAAAATTCATGTAAACCAAAAAAAAAATAAATAGAAATCGCCAAATCGCCAATCGCTGAAGAGATGATCACCTCAGACTGTCGGCTGTCTTGTATATTCTCTGCGGCGTGGGCACCGTCCACGCTGCGCTAACCCCCTTGTACACACGTCTTAACCGTGTCAACGCGTCGTCAAATTTGTAAAGGTGCTTAATTTATTTTGAATATAATCGCGCGGGCGCGGGCAGATCATCAGCATCGAACAAATGCGGCCCAATGGTCTAGTAGTATGATTCACCCTTAGGGTGGGTGAGGTCCCGGGTTCAATTCCCGGTTGGGCCCATCGTATCGGCTTGATTCCGTCTAGACGACCTCCTCGGAGACGTCATGACGGTGCGGCAACTTTTCAGGGCAGATGGTCGAGTGGTCTAAGACGTGTGACTCAAGTTCACATCTCGCAAGAGGCAAGGGTTCGAATCCCTTTCTGCTCATACTTTTTGCTTTCTGTTCACTCTTTTTTATTCCTATCTTTAATGCAGGTGCTGGTGGATCATGTTGGATCATGGTGGACGGTGGACCATGCTATTCATGACATCATTCAGCTTTTCGCCTTCCTTTGGCGTTTATTAATATTAGTGATATGTAAAGATCCGATCATAATCCTTTGTCCTGGTTTCCGCTGGAGCATACCTCCTAACTTAAACTGAATCTTGGTATGGGTCCGCTCTGGCCCATCAAAGAAACTAAAAAAATACTGTGACACTGACGACCCTCCTGGCCTACATTTCTCAACCAAAAACAAAACCCCAAAAAACTGGCCGATAATGTTGATGGCTTGATGCCTTTACCACCTTTATTAGCCACTTAATTTTTGGAAACGAATATGAAGATGACCATTGTAGGAGTGACGAAAATAACGAACAAGAGTGTAAAAAGAATTGCTCGAAAAACATAAAAAACGATAACAAACAGCAATGTCATGAAAGGGGTCGTTCACTTTATTACCAGAAAATGGAAGTGATAAACAGCACAATCAATAAGGCTCGCAGCAAAATAAGAACCCGGTCGAGCAGCAAAAAAGGGAAATGTGATCTATGAATTCGGAGTGCAGGAAGACTCAATAAATAAAGTGTCAGAGATGATGAGCTGCAAAGAAAATGTAAAAAAGAAATGATGATAAAGAGATGTTTTCGTGATAAAGGTATTTGGACTGTAAAACAATGATGGATATAAGAAAATACATAAAGAAGAATGCGAGCGAAAAACAGAGTATTCCTTCATCTATTCCCATTGCTTTTCGGCTTTGCGACCGCCCTCGCCGCCGACCAAAACGCAGCTGCCCGTTTAGGTTCACCAAAAAGCTGGACGTGAGACGCGATACCATCCTCAGAGTGAGACTCTGTTGCCGGCAGAGGTGGGCTATGGTGATAGGAAATTTGCGGATAAAGAGCGTGAGAGAACCCAACGTCCTGAGACCCTGATGACAATCTTCGACGTCCCCCTGATGCTGTCGGTGATGTAGGCGATAAAGATTGTTCATGAGAACTTATCAGGTGGGTGTCAACGTGGAGCATAAAGGGCTTTACGCTTGAGGGAGAATCGTGAATGGAGTGCATGAAAGAACCGCTCGCTTTGACGATGTGGGTGCGGTAATGCTATAAGGTGTCGTCAGTCCGACAGACAAAACAAAGTGTGAAGGAGGTTGAACTATGGAAACGCTTACCTGCATCATGTTATCTTGCCGCGAAAACCTGCTCTCACATTCTGGTACGAGGCATTTATACGGCTTAGCACCCGAGTGGATCCGAAGATGACGTGCCAAATGACCACTACAACAAATTAGTCCATAAAATATATTCAAAATCGACTCACCTCGTCGTAAACACCTTTCCACAATCCACCCACTCGCATTTATACTCCTTATCTCCACCACTAGCCCCAGATTTCTTTGCTACCTTCCTCATGGACTTATTCCTCTTCTTCTTTCGTAGGCGCTCAGAATCAGTATCAGACGGTTCGGACATCTCAGCCGAAGACGATGAGTCTGATGGAGCGTAATTGGGGTCTGAGCGACGAGTTCGACGCTTCGCCGACGGATTGCTGGACATGGTAGGTTTATTGACGTCTGGAGAATACCCAACGGAAGACTGAGGCAGTGTCACGGATATCTGAGGCTTGGAGATACGAGACCGACGCGGTCCCGCCGATTTCGGCTTAATATGAAGTTCACCGAGCTCTTGGGACAACGAAGACGGCGAGACCCGCTTCTTTTTGCTGCGACCAGTCGCGACGGGCTCCGAATACACAACCATGGATTGATCGGAAGTCGGAGAAGCGTTGAGAGGTTCTGCGCTCTTCGCAGCAAGCATCAAAAGTTCCCAACCTGACGCCGCACCCTCCACCTGCGGATACTTAAACGGCGGGTGAACATGATGCTGCAGTAATGAAGGTGACTCTGGGGATGGTGGCGCACCCGCGTTCGCCATCTCAACGCCTAAAGGGAGTTGGAGCCTGTCTTGTGGAGCTGCATCGCAGAGAATGTTGTAACGACCGGGACCAAGGAAATGAGTGTCGGGAGTTGGAGGGGAAGGAGGGATGGTGAAAACTGCGTTGCTGGACATGCCGAGGGACGGTTTGAGGAATGCTTCTTGGACGATTTCGTTGGGGTAAAAACGTTGATAAATGAGCCTTCGATAAAACACGAAGAAGCGACGGTGAGATAAGCACAGGAGGCGAGACGGAGGCTTCAAAGGGTTTAGATTGAAAAAGGAGGCAAGGGGGGAAGAAAGGGTTTTGCGATGTTGAAAGATAAAGAAAAAGGGGCCTTTTTCACTTTTCTTCTGGCGTCTTCCCGAAGACGATAAGACGATGTAGCTCGACCAACGAAAAAAGAGAGTCTCCCTCTGGTCAACAAAAAGGGAGGCTACAAAGCAAGTTCCGGCGTGAAAGGATAAAGTTTTATTTGCTGTACCTTTAAACGGTATACGGCGAGGGAACTGGCAGTGTGGAGAATCCTAGGGACCTCTCACAGTGGTGCTTAGAGGAATTGTGGGGATGACGGACTCCTGAGAGGTGTCGGAGGGGCAAAAATGGGGTATGGAAGATGAATGTGACTGGAAAAAAAACTAAATGAATATAAATGATGGACCCTTGGCTTCTTTAAGGATAGCTGCCTTTGCACAAAGGAACCCCCACCCATCTCTTGCCCTCCTCAGGCCAGTAGCCAGCAATTGTGAAACATTTTTTAACAAACAGGCCGGCGTTCTATTTCTTTGGATATTGCTATATGCAACGTCGCTGTCACATCACTGCACTTCCCTGCCGTCGGCTTTCGCTTTTTTTTCTTTCTTTTCGTTCACGTATCTTCCTGTGTCATAAATAATGCGTAAGCACTACGTAGTCAATAACCGGAAGTAAGGTATTGCACACCATCGATGACGCTGCATTCATTTGGTGTAAAAGTGTGAGTGATGCGACACGTCCAGCCAAAAACAATAATCTGACATTTTCACGTGAAGGTCCCCTCTGATTCGCTTCACCTATCACGTCGCGAATTTTTTTTTGTTGCGAAGGGCCAAAACTGTCTTCGGGGAGGGGTTTTTGCTCTTTGACGAACATGGCGAGTATTAAAGGTGAGCGATGGGATGGGAGGCGTCGACGGCGTCTAAAACTATAAAGCGTAGAGAGGTCTTTATTGCTATCAACAAACTTGAAGGAGAGGGGTTAAGGGGGCGGAGAAACTAAACTAACATCCTTTAACTTTCCAATTGTAGCATTTAATGGACCGAGGTCGGAGCGTTTTTCAAAGTTGCCCCCGCTGGGTGATGCGACAGCACATGTGGGTCCAGGCGCATACGATATAGATCAAGTTAGACCCCACCCCCCACGCGAAGTCTCCTGACCACCCCATAGATCACAACGCTCTCAAAATCATTAGCTGATAAACCATCGTCCAAGCTCGGGGTATGCGTGACCACAGCGCAGAGATTCCCCGACCTGAAAGAATTGGTAAATACTTTTCGGGGTTATGAGGACTGATAAATCAAGGCCCCAAGCCCAGATAAATATGAACCAAGAGGCTTTGTATCGGTGTTAAAGTCGAAGATTACGAGTACGAGGGAGCCGTTGGAGACGTTGGAGGATAAGAATGTTATTGAGATTTTTTTGAGGAGGATGGATCCGATACCTGGGCCAGGTATTTTCCTTTGCGCAGTCATTTATTAATTTTTAAGGGACCTATGATATTAATAGGGCTATTGGACGGCATGTTGGAAATGATTATAAGTTTGGCCTTCTCAAGTCAGATCATTTACGAAAGGTGCGGCTTTACATACTGGTATCTTTGCTAATGGGGTTTGTAGAGAGACGCAAAGAATAAGGAACAAGTTCATGAGTTGAAGAAACTCCTTGCAACAAATGATCTATTTACGGATAAAAGAGCTTGCAGGAGGATGGCGCACTTAGCGCTATATCATCCCTAAATTTTGTGTTTTCACAAACTAAAAGAAGTCTCTCCATACTTCTCTCCCTCAGACAATTTTTTTTGAATCTTTAGCCAACCGATACTCGTATCATATCTGAATCCTGGAAGTCGTGTCCCTAGTTTTGTCAATGAAAGATATTTGACTAAAGCTCAACTTAAGCTGATATGTTACATCGAATCAACTCTTTTACTGAGAATCCCTTACCCACGAAAGAACATAAGGATGTTTATTGATAATCATTATAGGCCGCAACTCGGCCGAACATTAAATGAAAAACGGAAAATTTAGTAGAAGGCATTTGATAGAAATATCTGGTACTATGATAAAAATTCGATATACTTTAACCATCGCAGTTAATATACAATGCATTCACAAACCAAATTAGCAGTACAATCTATTTCTTCTTCCCCTCAACCGCCTTCATCCGAAACCCATCTTTAAGCCACCTCAACGCCCCCAGCACCTGCACCTCCCCGACCCTAAGCATCTCCTCCGTGATATTCTCCGCCGTGGGATTCCGCACAGCCGCAGGTCGCGCAATCTTGGCGGCAACAGAAACATTAGTGCGTGAGGAAGCTTGACTCTCTTCAACACGTTGGATAACATTTGACCAGAGCTCGCCGGTGCGGAGTTTAGCGTCAAGACGAAGAAGGGGTTGGTTTCGAGTTCGGAGGACCAGATTGAGGGGATAATGGCAATACCATGGAAGTGGTTGTCCTGAATTTATGCGTTAGAAACGGAGAGGGGGTTGGGTTGGGGATGGATGGACTCACTTCAGCTGATTTTAGTTTCATCTGATATTAGATACGTAAACGTTAGCGAATTAAAAAAAAAAAAAAAAAAAAAAAATCAAGGACAAAAGGACTCGGAACGGGACTCTCTCATATAAATAAAAATTGTGCAAGTAGGTGTGTCATCAAGGAGATCAGAGGCTCCCTATGTTTATAATCATCGAGAGTTGCAGACCCTTAAACCTTTCATTGAAACATCAAACTCACCTGTAAAAA